GAATGCAAGGTTGGCTTAAAATGTGAAAGTAAATCAATATAATTGAACATTGATTGATTTGATCAACAAACTAAAAAAGTAAATCCATATGATCATCTCAATAGGTGCAAAAGCATTTGTCAAAATCTAAATTCATTCCTGATTTAAAAAAGAAAACAGACAAACAAAAAAACTCTCAGCAAAGTAGGAATAGAAGGAAACCTCCTCATCTACAGGCGTCTACAAAAACCTACAGCTAACATCACTCTTAATGGTGAAGCAATGAATACTTTCCCTTTAATATGAGGGAAAAGAACAATGAGATCTGCTCTTATCGCTTCTATTTAACATTGTACTGGAAGTTCTAGCCAATGCAATAAAGCAGAAAAAAAGAAAGTAAAAAGCAACCAGATTAGAAAAGTAAAACTGTCTCTGTTCACAGACAATATGATCACCTATGCAGAAAATCTTACGAAACTTACCAAAAAAGGATACTAGAATAAGTGAGTTTAGCAAAATTTCAAGATACAAGGTCAATATATAAAAATCAATTATATTTTGAAAGAGTGGCAATGAACAATTGAAAATTGAAATTTTTAAAATACCATTTAAGATAGCATCAAAAATATGAAATGCTTACAGATAAATCTGACAAAAGATGTACAAGAACTGTACACCGATTAGCACAAAAGATTGCTGGGAGAAATTAAAGAAGACCTAAATAAATGTAGGAATACACCTTGTTCATGTGTAAGAAGATGCAGTATTCTTAGGATGTCAATTTTCCCCCAAACTATACACGATCCCAATTAAAATCCCAGCAGACTTTTTTTTGTAGAATTTGACAATATGATTCTAAAACCAACATGTAAATGTTAATGACTTAGAACAGGCAAAACAATTGGAAAAAGAACAAATCAGAAGTAACACTCCCTGATTTTAAGGCTTATTACACACACATATATGGACAACTGGTTTTGACAAAGGTGCAAATGTGCAGTTGAGTGAACAATAAGTTTTTCAATAAAGGGTGCCCAGAACAATTGGCTATCCATATGCAAAAACAAAAAGCAAACAAAACCCACTTCAATTCATACCTCGAACCTTTCAATTAACTAGATATGAAACATAAAACTAACTGTAAAAACTGAAATAATAAAATTTCTAGAAGAAAACATAGGAAAAAATCTTTGTGACCCTGATTTAAGCAAAGATTTTTCAGATATGACATCAAAAGCATGATTCATAAAATAATTCAAATTGATAAAGTGGACTTTATCAAAATTAAGATCTTCAAAAGACACTATTAAAAGAATAAAAAGACAAGCCAGATAGCAGGAAAAAATATCTGCAAATCATATATCGGAAGAACTTGTTTTCAGAATATATAAACAACTCTCAAAAGTCAATTATAAGAAAAAATATAAGCAAAAATTTGAACAGATTTATCAGCAACTAGATATATGAATAGCAAATAAGCACATGAAAAAATTGTCAACATTGTTTTAGTCCTCATTTCCAACACAGTACAATTCTATTGCCAGCCAAACTATCAATCTAGTACGAAGGTAAAATAAGGGCATTTTCAGATATGTAAAATCGTAAATGTTTACCTCCAAGGCACCTTTCTCAGGAAGCTACTGATGTATGTACACTACCTGAAAATGAAATGAAAGAATGAAACAAGAAAGGGAAAGACGTGGGGAGTGAAGAGCGTGCTTTGGAGGAAGTGCCAGAGCAACAGCTGTGCAGACAGCTGCCCAGACCAGACTGAAGTCAGAGAATGAAGGAAGGGTGGCAGCAGGGAGTTTTCTGAGAAATGTAGCTGTTTAACTAAAATGTCTGTGACACTGAAGTCAGACTTCTGCAAGGTCACATGGAAGTCTAAGGAAAAATGAGCCAAAGTTGTACCTTTTATGTGATTTGTTTCATCATAAAAATCTGTCTGCTTTAAGATAAGACTGAATTGTTTATTTTTGCAGATGCTCTCCCCAACAATTGGTAGTAATTCTGGCCAATGAAAAGGTCTCTCCCTCATCTAAATGAAAACCCAGTGCAAAGCTTGGTGGTGGGGGGAGAGGAAGAATTTATATGTGTGTGGGAGGTGTAACTATATAAAGGGTGGGTATGTAAAAGAGCTAAACTTTCATTTTTTATTACAAGAAAGTGATTGGACAATAGTTAAAACTTGAAAATCAAGAAATAGTAGGTATATCCCTAAAGGTGTGTCTTGTGGATCTCCGTTCCACAGCTTAGAATATTTTATAAGAATGTGTCAAAAAAACTCTACTTTAAAAGGTATATTCTCTATAATTCTCTAGAATAGAAAATTCCAATAATCAATGCACCATTTGTTTTTTTGAGTAATTAAGAGAGGAAGGAGATGGAGGCAAGGATTATAACAGTAGCAGTTTGATTTACAATATTCATGCCTTTATTACAGGCACATGAAAAGAACATCTTCTATACTTACGGTAGCACCCTTGTCCTGGTGACTGTATTGAATCTTTCAAAAGCAAAATTTAGGATCACACCATGACTTCTAGAGGGAGTTTAAACAGCTATTAAATAAAACAGAAAAGAGGGGCCACATAAAAGGTGGCTTTTTTCTGACTTGGAGTCATGGTTGTAACTCGTTAAAAATTTTATTATAAAAATATCGACAATGGCATTTTATATGGTAACATGTTAGTATAGATTCCGTTTGTTTCTTTTCAATATTGGAAATGTTTGTTTTCATTTGATTAAAATACTGCCTATCACATAATGATTTTTCTCCATTCTGTACTAGCAGATACAACCCAAGTTGAATACTTATAACTGATTGCTTTGCTTTAATATAATAGTCAACACAGCCTCCGTATGTATTTAATAGGAATGCAGGCTTTCAGTCCAGACAGACTGGATTTTTACCTTCCTCTGTCACTTTGTGCTGTATGACTGTAGGCTATGTAATTAACTACTCTAAGACTCAAGGTTTCCCATCTGTAAAATGGGGGTACAGGATTTTGTAGGAGTAAATTAAATAATGTATGCAAAACACCTTAGTGTATTACTGAATGTAAAAAAATGATAGATTTTCTAGTGGATACATTACAATATAAAGATACTAACCAAATAAGAATTTCTTAATCCTTCTTCCCAAGCTCACCTCAGCATCAAAGCCCTAAAGCATGTAAATGGTGAAGCCTACCAAAGAGGCAGCCCTAGTCCTCATGACTACATGGCGAGGCATGACTTATTTCTGTGGCCAGCTCTGGGGAAGGGCACAACAAACCTCACTGTAAGGACCTACATTCACTAACAATAACCAGGAGGCCATGTCACTTTGCAGGCCCCATCCACCTTCTAATAAGAACACTTCCAAAGGTCACAGAGGTGACCTCACTTTAATATGAATTTTTTAAAACAATTTTGTATTTTCTTGGTATGTTCAGAGAGATGTGTAACCATCACCACTACCTAACTTTATAAATTTTCATCACACTCAAAACAAACCCCATATCCACTAGCAGTCACTCTCCAATCCCTACCCCTGGCCCCCAGCAACTACAAATTCATTTTCTGTCACTGTGCATTTGCCTATTGTGGGCATTTCATATAAACTGATTCATACAATACATGGTCTTTTGTGTTTGGCTTCTTTCATTTAGTGTGATGTTTTCAAGGTTCATCTGATGTGGGAGCATCATGTACGTGTACTTTTTTCCTTTTTATGAGCAAATAATATTCCATTGTATGGATATATGATTTTGTTTATTTATTCATTAATGGACCATTGCATTGTTTTCTCCCTTGGTTATATAAATTATACTGCTATAAACATTTTTGTATAGGTTTTTGTGTGGGCATGTTTTCATTTCTCTTGGGTACATACCTAGGGATGGAATTTTGGGTCATAAGGTAACTCTACGTTTAACTTTTTGAGGATCTGCCAAACTATTTTCCAAAGCAAGTTGTATCATTTTAAATTCCCACCAGCTTTATATGAGCATTCCAACTTCTCCTTTTCACTACCAACACTTGTTATTGTCTATCTTTTTGATAATAGCTACCCAAGTGGATGTGTTTTCATTTGCATCCTCCTGACTGATGTCCTACTGATATAAAGCATCTCTCCTTGTGCTTGTTCCTATTTGCATATCTTTTGGAGAAATGACTATTCAAAATCCTTTGCCCATTTTTAAAATTGGGTTGTCTTTTTATTATTGAGTTGTAAGAGTTCGTTATATATTCTGGATACAAGTCCCTTACCAGATGTATAATCTAAAAACACTTTCTCCCATTCTGTGGATTATCTTCATTTTCTTGATAGTGCTCATTGAAATGCAAAGTTTTAAGACTTTAATAAAATTCAGCTTATGTTTTTCTTTTGTCACCTGTCCTTTCAGTGTCATATCTAAGAAACCACTGTCTAATATAAAGTCATGAAAATTTACTCCTGTTTTCTATTAAGAGTTTTTTATAGTTTAAGCCCTTACTTTTAGGTCTATCATCCATTTTGAATTAGTTTTTAATATATGGTGTGAGGTAGGGGTCCAACTTCATTCTTTTGCATGTAGAGAAAACCAACTATTAAAGGGTTTTCATGAAACCATTTTTTGCTTATATGAAGTGTGACAATATGCTATGCATACACATAAAGATTCAGTCATTCACTCAACAAATATAGGCAGCAAGAACAATATTTTGAGACACGAAGTGGTCATTTTTCTTCCTCTATTTTTCCTTTTCCTTTCCAACATTCAGGCACATAGCAGGCTCTGGGCTTCCTGGCCTACGAGAGGTTTATGGCACGGTGGCTTACTGCGTTTTGTTTCTTCAAAAACCTAAATTCTATGACCACAGATTCCCAGGGGAATTGACTAATTATATTATCCAGAGAACAAGGAAGAACTGGGTTTTCACCCTCTTCCAGAGTAGGTAGGGAGTCCTCAGAGATGAAGGTAGGGAGAGGAGAGAGCAGTGTACCAAGAAAGAGGGGACCTGCACCCGGTTTTCCAGACATACTGCTGAGAGACATGGCTGTGGATGCATCTAACATCATATCCATCCTCAGTCCAGATTCTCAGTCTGGCATGAGGCAGCTAAGAGTTATCAAACCCCAGTGGATTTTAAGGACGGTAACAATATGACAACAGCTGACCAAACATCAGATGGGATATCCCATACACACATGCACACACTATCCTGAATGACCATGTACTATACAACTTCAGCACTCCCCTGGAATTACAAAACATCCCAAAGAAGCAAGGAGCCATGAAGAAGTCCAAGGAACACTAATGTTATGTTTTTTTTCCCCTCCAGCAAGGCAAAATGGCAACTCAGAGTCAGAACTTAGGTTTCTAGAAAGAGGTTATATTTCTTGCACCCTCGACTTTATGGACTGACATTCATACCTGCCACACAAATATTGAGAATCTTCTATATACAAGGCATTCTGGTTGGCTAAGTTGGGGTAGGGAATATAAAAGTCAATCAACACTGGCTGAGCATGGTGCGGCTGGTCTCAAAAAGGACAAAAAAAAAAAGTCAATCAAGTCATTGTTAGCCAAGGCATTTGTAGTTTGGTAAGAGCAAATACGAATAATCAGAGTTACCATTTGTCTCAAACCACTTGTGTTCACACCTTGTGATACACTCTTTGTAAATGGGTCTCATTTAATTGAATCTTCCTCACAACAGGGCTTTGAGGTTCAGAGTAGGTAAGTGACTTGCCCAAGGATGCATATGTAGTAGCTGGTGGAACTTGGATATGAACTAGGGTATGCCTAACTCCAACATTTCATTCTCAAATTTATGACTCCCTCCCATGGAGAGGCCAGGCTGAGTGATGTCCTTTAATAATTCAGCATTCACTGGGCTTAGACTTTGGCTCATTTTTTTTATTGGTTATGAATATTCATGAGATATAAAGCTGATTGTCACCCCTCGTGCCCAAGATGTGAAGGCCAGATCCATACTGGCGGGCTCATTTTTTCTGAGATGGTATGGAGTTAAGTCAAACCAATCTTCTCTAACTTGCTTTCAATGTACCCATTGGCAGATGACTGTTCGATGTACCCACTGGCCAGAAGCCTGGGGCTGGACAGAAGACATTGGCCAAACAGGCTCCCATGATCATGGGACCCATGGCCTTCACTGTATCTGTTAAGGTGTGCCAACCGGTTCCTCTGAATACTCAGGAATTGCATTACCATTCATACTGTCTATATACGCATCAAAGAAGTGACATAACTGATGGTGGGGCAGGGAGGATTCTGACATTACTGCCAAAGGAAGAATTTGGTTATAAGCAAAATGGAATTTTTCCCTATAGGAAAAAATCTCACAGAGCTGTTTTGCTTTGAGATGCAGACACTTAATTAGTGCCTAAGAAAGTATTTAAAATTCTTGCCTGAAGCTTCCTAGAAACAGTAAAAGGAAAGTAAGTTGATTTGGGCCAATGAAATGTTAATGGTTTTTCCTTAGGTATTAATCTACAGAACAAATGTTGAGAATGAAAGAAGTAGGCATATAAATACAGTGAGAAAGCCATAATTTATTTACTTTCTACTTCTGCTTCTGCTATTTGAGCCTGGGCAAATGACTAAACCAAATCTCAAATCCCAAAGAGAAGCATATCGAGCCATAGTTAGAAAAAGAAAACACAGAGAAATTTAAATTATAAGGAACTGATGTCTCTTCTGTTACGTTCTTTTCTTAAGAATAAATCTCTAGCCCATCTGGGGTATACAAACATTACACTTCTATTTTCTTTCTTTCTTTCTTTTTTTTTTTTGTCTTTTTCGTGACCAGTAAGGGGATTGCAACCCTTGGTGTGGTGTTGCCCACACCGCACTCAACCAGTGAGCGCACAGGCCATTCCCATATAGGATCCAAACCCACGGCGGAAGCGTCGCTGCGCTCCCAGCACCGCACTCTCCCGAGTGCGCCACCGGCTCGGCCCACACTTCTATTTTCACATATACAAACTGAACTTCAGAGCCCAGAACCCTCTGAAATCATTTGGTCCAATGTTCTATTTTATAAACAGGAATATCTGAGATTCCAAAAGGTTAAGTGACTCGTGGAACATCACGTGTTTATTAGAACAAATAATGTTTTAACTCAGTGGGAATGTACTGACCTAGGAGTGGGAGAATCTGGATGTTACTTCCCACTCAGCCCATTAATGAGTCTCTCTGTTTGTAAAACGTAATTGTTGGATTAGATGGTTTTTAAAAATCCTTCCCTCTCTGAAGGGACTATATAATTCTGTACACATGAGAATCAGTAGTTTGTCTGCTTGTTTTTACAAACCCAGTAGCTTTCTTTGCAGCTACGATGAATAGGCAGTGTTTGTGGTGGTTATTATGAGTGTGGACTCTGGAGTCCGACTTTCTGCCTTTTGATCCCAACTCTCACACTTACTTGTGGTGAAAGCCTGAACCAATTAACCTCTCTGTGCCTCAAGTGCAAAATGGAGATTGTAACAGTATGTACTACATATGGCTGTTACAATGATTACATTGAATAACACATGTCAGGTATTTAGCACAGTGCTTGGCACAAAGCAAGTACTCAGTAAAGAAGGACTATCATTAATATTACCATAGTTGAGTTGGTATTACCATACCAGAGTTGTCCTTGGGTGGGATATCAGAAGCCTTTTCTTCCTCTGGGCAGATGCAGCCCAAGTGCTAAGGCGCACAACAAGGCAGATGCATTCTCTACAGTTAGTGTCTGACTTTAAACAAAGAAATAAATCATTTTCCCCTCTCCCTCACTGAGAGTGGTAGACAGTCCATGTGTTTGTTATAATGTAGGGCTTCTAGAAAGCTTTTCAGAGGGGGGCCTTCTTAGATGGCAGGAACATCTTTGCTCCTTCCCTCTTCTTCTTTCTGCCCTGAATGCAGAAGCAAGGACTGGGGTGTCAGCAGCCTATTGTGATCATGAGGGAAAGGCTAAATGACTTTTAGAAATTTAGTCCTTGAGCCAATAAATCAATGCCAGCAACCACTGACCTCCAAACTTCTTGTTTTGTGAAAAAAATAAACTCATATACACTTTTTTACTGTTATCAAAATGCAACTTCTGATACACCCTCCAAAATCTATTTCTCTTTTCTATCAACATACATTTGCAGGGCCGGCCCGGTGGCACACTGGAGAGTGTGCCGCTAGGGAGCGTGGCGGCGCTCCCGCCAAGGGTTCGGATCCCATGTGGAGACTGGTTCCCACTCACTGGCTGAGCGCGGTGTGGGCGCAACACCGAGGGTTGCGATCCCGTTGCCGGTCCCCGGTACGGGTGTGACACTGAGGGTTGCGATCCCATTACCAGTCGGTAAAAAAGACAAAAAGGGGGAAAAAAAAAAAAAAACATACATTTGCAGATATGTCTGATCGACCACTTGCCCCGGGCTATTTAGGGGTCCTAAGTCAGGTGCTCATTAGCCTACATTTATATTTTTGCAAAAATGTCCAGATTGTCCTCAAGGGTCTTGCTACTCAAAGTGTGGTCAGTGGACCAGCAGTATTAGTGTCACCTAGGACCTTGTTAGAAATGCAAAATCTCCAGCCCCATTCCAGACCTACTGAATCAGGATCTGCATTTTAGCAGGATCCCCAGTGATTTTTGTACACATTAAAGTTTGAGGCTGTGGCTAGACTTCCAGGCTCTGCTCTGTCATCCCTCTTAAACACTGCTGCCAGAATGATCTTCCTGAAGCATAGCTCTCCTTCTCAAAAACCTTCAGGGGTTTCTTACTGCCTATAGAATAAAGTTTGGTCTTTTTAGCCTGACAACCAAGACCCTCCATGATCTTGTGTTGTCTTGGAAGTACTGAGCAAGGTGCCTGCCATGCATATAACAGGGAGACAGTAAATAGTTTTGTGCATAAAAGAAAAAAAATGAGTGTATGTGAAAAATAATGCATATCTCAATTCTGGCCCTACCATGGTAAGCATCGGGGATACAATAATACAAAACAGAAACAAAAACAACCCCCCCCCCACACACACAAAACAGACATAGTCCCCTGCCTTCAAGGATCTTAGACACTTAGAATGACAGGATTTTAAAAAATTAAAAATGTATAGCGACAAATTATAAGCGCTAAGAAGGAAATGAACAGAGGCAGTGATACAGGGTAAGACAGACTAGTCAGAAGGATGGTCCTAAGGATAGGGAGCCGATTGTGGAGCTGGTCCAGGCAGAGGGACCAGCATGTGCCAAGCTCTGTAAGGAGAATTTGGTGTGTTTGGAGGTCAGAAAAGGGACTGCCCTTTTAGGTTTACCCGGAAAATAGGTATGTGGGAGGAAAGCGACATAGGATTCACTTTCCAAATCACTTAAGAGGAAATGCTGAATTTCTTTCCCCTGATGTATGTCCTCACTGGGATCACTGATGAGTTGGACAGCAGGGCATACTGCAGAATCGCTGTTTGAGTCCAGCCCTGGAAATCAGACCAAGTGAAATTCAAATCCCAGCTCCGCCAGTTCCCGGCCCTCAACTCCTTTGACCAGCAAGCCTTTGATTCCTCAGGTATAAAGTGGGGTTAAGAACAGAACCAACTTTGCAGTTATTGTTGAGGGAGATAATGCTTGTAAAGCTCCCCAGCACACTGCCATCCACATTAGTGCACGCCTGAGTATCAGCGGTTTTATGATCACGGTGATGATTATTACTATCGTTAATTATTATTAGTTTTGGGGCAAAAGGCTCATCCCAGATATTCCTGTCCCCCCTGAGGCCTCCCGACCCTGCCATTCCAGGCAACATCCCCCGCGCACGGCCACCGTGACCCCAGCGCGGGCGCTGGACGCCGCCGCTGGACCCCCGTTACCTGGGGCCAAACGCGACTTGTCGCCACCTTGCGTCCTGGGCCCTGCCTCCCTCCCGGCCCCGCAGCTGCTGCGGCGGCGCCCCCAGCC